GCTGCTCTAATGGGGTTATACACCTTGAGGAAGGACAGGCGGCTGAGATGTGGAGCGAGAGGGGAAAGAGGTCTCTGAAGACCATGCTGGAACTGACATTTTCGAGGAGACTTCAACTTTGGAATGTTTGTGAGCGCCAAGACCGAGATTTAGGCAAATTAGCCATGACTTCTTTTGTCGATGAGTCTATGGCATTCCTCAGCGCCCTGGACGGCACAAAAGAAGCTAGGCTAAGCTAGCATACAGCAATCACGCTCTGTCGAGACTTTTCTGGCATTTCACCACGACCTTCGGGAAGGAGGCTAGAAAGGCAAAGGGTGAATTTATCGAGGTACCCGCAAGTCTGCAGCGCCCAGCTGGCCGGCCTCTTCGAACGCTTGAGAAGGATCACAATGTCTTCGGATTTGGTCCTAATGTCGGTATTTGGAGAGCTACGCATCCAGTGGTTTTTGGGATTTTCCCGGCTGCCATACACCCACAAATGGCCATCGTTTCGTGGACTGGAGAGAGGAAATACAACTGGCATAACTATCCTTGGCCTGTAGGCTGAGAGAACCTGCATGATCTGCATAGTCCTAGACTTAGACTTGACAATAGAATAAATTAATAACCATGGCACTAGTGATATATGCTGTAGCCTTGAATCACGCAATACCTTTGCCTTGACTACTTCGTCATCTCTTATCATAGCAGCTTAAGCACGAGTGTAGCCGGGATGGATTAGGTTAACTTTCATTAAAGTACAATAAAACTTGTTCCACCCTAATGACCGAACCAGCTAAGTTTTCACTCGTGTGTTTAACATACCAAGTCCGGAAGTCCAGAGAACCCGACTTTGACATGTCGCAACGCAACGTAATGTTTTTCTCAGACTCGTCCAGCAGACGCCAATGCTATTGAAATCTCTCACTCTAAAAAATTTTTGATTTCACTTGAGTCCCATGGATAACCTATCCCATCCAGATGACATTTTCTTTATTTGAGGCACATTCTATTTTCCCCAAGTACAAATAAATCAAATTAGCTAGTTTCTTTCTGGTAGATCCTAGAAGTTCTCCATAGTCATAGTCTCAGACAGGACTATAATAAAATTAAATCTAATCTAATCTATCATCCCCATTTTCCTCTTTTACAAGTTCACTCAAGCTTTTACTTAACCCCTCAACCAATTTATTCATGTCTGAGATCTTGAAAAATGCGCATCCCTTCGTCCTTATGCGGTCGTTTCTGTACCCCTAACCGTTGAAGCCGAATCTTAATTGAAAAGAACAAGACAGAGTTACTGGCGCCACGGACTATTAGAAGCACTGGTTAATGAGCTGACAAATTGTCGTATGTATTTTTTTTGCATCAGATTTTAATTGCGTATGTAGCTATCTAGCTATAACACAATATCAAAGAAAAGTACTCAATATACAAGAAGAGCTGTCATGCCTCGGATGTCATTTGCGAGAACTACTGCGAAGTTATAGTGGCTTTTTCTTCACCACAAGTCAAACATCATCAGGAATATGCACCCAAGAGAACGTCTCAAAAACCCTGAGTTATCCAGAAATGCCTCCGTCATCCATTTTGTTTTCTCCGTGCGAAATATGGTCTTAGGCGTATCCTTCCCAAGTTTAGTAGGTGCCCAAGCTACTCGAATCATACCAGAGAACACCACCAGGAGACGGACCATGGCACCTTCCATCGTTTGCTTGTGTTTATTGTGTCAGCTGCACTCTCGCAACTGAAGTCTTGGCGCGCACAAAGCTCAATTCGTGAAACTCCTTGCCAAAATTGGGAATTTCGCGCCCTTCAAGTTTACATCCTTCCTTCACATCATCTTGTCGACTTGTCCTGATCCCTCCCACGTTCATCCCCAAGAACTGTCTCCCAGATTTGTGCGCCACGCTTTGCTTTCTCTATCGGGTATAAATATCGTCGTGGGAGTGTATTTGGTGGTCAACTGAGACTAGAGAAGGTCAAAGAGTAGTGTGGTCATTGGGATGAGGATGTACTTGGTCGTACTTGTAGGCTTGTCGAGGCTTGGATAGGATTCTAAGTCATCGGGAGTGAAAAAACTACGTGGCGGAGTAATTTGAATCATTGCTTCGTGGGCCAACTTCATTGGTATTGCGAAATTTGACTGAACTCGGCTCTGGGAGAATATTTCACTCCCAGTTTCGCAGAAGGCACCGCGTACAGGTGTTCGGTCTTTCCCTGTCTTGTTCCTCCTTGTGAATGTGGATGGAGTGATTTGATGCAAGTCATCGACAGTTGCCTAATTAGCTTCAGGTATTATTGTAGTGGTCTGTGCTGGTATTCATGCTTTGAAACCCCTGATCTTGGCCGGACCAATAGGGACAAGCTCTAGAGTTGTTTTTCTAGTGCACTTTCACGTAGGAAGGGTTGTCCTAAGCTCTTTGAAGTATTTTTTTATCACCTTGCTAAAAATCCACCAAGGATTGACGGGTCCTATCCCGTTCCAGATCATAGTCAGAGAGTGACAGTAAGTGTGTCAGATGAGCTTGGAAGCTTTGCATAGACAGTGGTAAAAGCGCTCGACTAAAATGCTAAAGCGGCTTGCACTTTTAATGGATGTGTGTCTTAGTTATTTATAAGCAGTGCAGGGGTTGGCTGTCAACAGGGTGCGTAACTAAGGTATCCTACATAATCGTAGTTCTGAGTCGAAAATATATATCCTCATTAGAGGTACCTGAACCAGATTTTATGGTGTTTTTACTTAAACCCTGTGATGGCTGTCGCTTCGACCAACCCCCTTATAACTGTCATGGAGAGGCAATTTCCGTATCGTGTCTGTGCATGTTAACACTAGTGTGGGAGTCTCCGCAAGTTTTTCCAGCTTTTGGGGCTATATTTTAGTATATGCATACTTTGAATGGCTTTAGGATCTCGGGATTAGAGCCAAAATTTCATTTTTTTTTTTTTTTGCATCAGATTTTAATTGCGTATGCAGCTATCTAGCTATGACACAATATCAGAGAAAAGTACAGAAAAGATGACTCAGTTTATAATAGGAGCACTCATGCCTCGGATTTCATTTGCAAGTACCACTGCGAAGTTATGGTGGCTTTTTCTTCACCCCAAGTCAACCCTCATCCGTGAATACCCACCCAGGGGAACGTCTCAAAAACCCTGAGTTATCCAGACATGCCTCTGTCATCCATCAACTTTTCTCCGCGCGAAATGTAATCTGAGATGTCTCCTTCCCAAGTGGAGTAGGTACCCAGGCTACTCAAACCATACCAGAGAACATCACCAGGAGGCGGACCACAACACCTTCCATCGTTTGCTTGTTTTTATAGTGTCAGCTGCACTCGCCAAAATTTCATGTTGTGATATGTTTGGGGCGGCTTCAGTGCAATGTTCTGTTACCATATTGGAGGAGGATGGCTTGGACCCCACAAATTGTGGGGGACTTGCCACGAAAACCAACCCCTGATAGGCTATTTGATGACGCTAAATCGCACTAAGCTTTCATAGCCGAGTGTATATTTTCAAAAGTAGGGATCAGTAACATATAAACTTGCTTTCCATGGTCAATATCCGCAGTGCGTTCCAGTACTTTGAATAATTAGAGTTATCGGCACATCAGGGTAGAAATTTTCTCCTTTTGACGTAATGAGGTGTTCAAGAAATGCTACTTTACAATTGTAAGAGCTCGGTCTCAGAAACTTCGTCCGCCACTCGATCTTCAAAGCAATGTTGATAGATAGTTAAACGCACCTTAGGTTGTGAAACGGATGCCAAGGATGACCAACTCGGAATGCGTCGGACCCGAAATCATTAAAACATCCGGCAGTGCAAGAAGGGGCATGTAAAAAATCCATCTGAAAGGTCTGTGGAAACCAAAGAAGTGTACGATGTGCTGAAGATTAAGGCTGCGATAGTCGTATCTAAGGTAATGTGTGGTGATCTTAGATAGCTTGGTACAACTGCTGGTTCACAACAATTACCACCCTGTGAAACTGTTGTACATCAAGTACAATGTTTTCCCCAGTACGCTACATCATGTTGCTTCATTGGTCGTCATGATCATGCCGGGCTATTCAAAAATTTACTGGCCGGTGTTAGAAACACCGCACGACAGCTTACAAAGCCAATCACGATTCAAAGTCCGGTCCATATCTATGTGGAATAAATGCCAGCGAACAGGCCCTCCTGCGCGGTCCATGTGCCTAGGGAAATCGGTCTTCCAGGATTGATAAATAATATACGAGTTCAGCCTACCCTTGCATATAAGATAGGTTAAGGAGGAAATGTTACCGCTCGCGAGAGAATTCCTGTCGCTCTTCTACGGTATCAGGGAAGGTTAAATTTAGATGTGCTTGCATGAGTGCATCATGACTTCAAACTCCGATCTCAAGCTCGACTTGATACCGCAAGTTACTAAAGGTACCAAAACGTTCCAACGCCTGACAATTCTAAAAGAATCCGAAGAGCTTGTCATCAGTGCCCATTCCGGTTGTGGATGAGCGCTGAACAAGCAAACCTTGAAAAACGTGGATAGTCCGGGTAATTATGGACCAACATGAGCTGTCTAGAGTTGACGGAACAGTACTACGGGGCCACATCGGAGTCCGTGCACTTGAGAATATCAGGAGGGCGACATGTAGAATCGAAAAATTGTACAGGGGCTACACTACGTTAGTGGGATCTGATGAGGCACATGCTCGATTATCCATCGGCATCAACAGCAACATTAACTTGCAGATTGAAGATAGCATCAATAATTTGGACTCGTTCTCGTCATCGTATTCGCTTGTGATAACATTCATGAGAAGCTATCATTAACATCTTATATAACCGTCTGCAGCAACGTTTATCCAATCTCAAAAAGATTTGATCACATCAACCTATTGTCAACCAACTTTTTCTCCGCCATCTCAGCGGACGGATCATACTTAAAATATCAGTACTCTTCCTTTTCACAAAAACTACAATCAGTAGATTTCAATTGTTAACAACTGTTCTACTCTTGATCAGTGAGATGCAACATGAGCTTACAGCCTTCTCTCAGATACTTGCCTGATAAAATAATGAGTTCTTCTATCCTAATTTGGGGTGGTGTCGGACTACTGTCAGTCATATGCTTAATACAATACATGCGCAGCAGAGCCAAGAGGACAGCATTCCCTATTATTGACCCGAGAGACGAAAAGGATTATCGATGCATCATTATGGATGGAGTTGCAAAAGTAATGCACAAGCATAACTTAGGCGATTTATATTGCTAATTGACAGCTTTAGTATCCAGATACACCCTTTTACATTCTTGGCTCCATAAAAACGCTGATGCTTCCCAAATCATACATCGATGAGATTAGGTCAATGCCCGAAGATAAGATGACCCTCAGGAAGTTTGTTCGCCAAGAATTTCACGTTGAGCTTACAGGCATTGGAGATCCTTCTAAGCCTACTGTGAAAGTCGTCAATACTGACTTAACACGTCATGTAGCTACCGCGCTGCCTCAGATACAAGAGGAGATAATCTACAGTTTCGATCATGCATTTGGTTCCTGCGAAGACTGGTCCTCATTCCCAACTTACTTCACTCTGGGAAAAATTGTCGCCATAATAAGCGGTAGAATCCTCGTTGGTCTCCCATTGAGCCGCAATGAGGAATGGATAGATAATAATATCGCATACGCAATGAGCGTTGTAAAGCTGAAAGCTGCCTTCTCAAAGTGGCCTGAATGGTCATGGGATATTGTCAGGTATTTCATTAAAGAAGTCAGGGAACATTCAAAATTGTGCGCCCGTGCATCGAAGAACATGAAACCACTACTTGATATGAAAATAGATGCGAGCGGCATGGACGTAGATACGAATGAGAACACAGCAGAACAAGGAAAATTCGTAACCTGGCTAAGATCACGCTTAGACGCGGGCAGGAGGAATAACCGTGAAATTTTTACCGAACAGCAGTTGGCATGTAAGTTAATGCTTTATTGTTATGACTTAAGTCAGGAAACTAATATGCAATCAGTATCTTTTGCTTCAATCCACGTCACAACAACTCTTATAACACAGGCAATGTACGATCTCGCTGCGTACCCCGAGTACGTTCCCATACTATTAGAAGAGATAAGGTCGATCATGAGAGAAGATCCTTCTGGCACTATCCAAAAATCGAGCCTACCCAAACTCACGAAATTGGATTCCTTTATCAAAGAGTCACAGCGTGTCTCTCCTTTTTCGCTAGGTAAAATTCTATCATGACCCATCAATACTCAATCAAATCCCCCAGGTTTAAAACCTTACTAACTTCAACTCAGTAAGTCATATAAGAGACACAGCTTCAGATATAAAATTATCAACGGGCCAAGTCATCCCAAAAGATACTCGTATTTCTGTTCCGTCTTGGGCTATACATCATAGTTCCCCTTCTCTACACTTGCCGGGCTACACTAAGTCCCTTAGTGAGTTTGATGGGCTACGATTTCATAATTTACGTCATGTACCAGGCAATGAAAATCGGTATCAATTTGTCACTACCTCTACCGATAGTTTATCTTTTGGTCATGGGATGCACTCTTGCCCAGGCCGATTTTTCGCGAATAACATCATTAAACTTACCATAATCCACCTATTGATGGACTGGGAAATACGATTCCCAGACGATCTAAAGAGGGAGGGAGGAGCATGGCGAAGACCAAAGAACCAGTTCCGAGAATTCGACTATGTACTTGACATGAACGCTCACTTGGAAATTCGAAAAAGGAAAATTTAGGATCAGTACGCTGGTCGTGAAATCATGTTTGCACGTGAGATATCCACCCCATATTTCTCGGATAACATGATAGTAGTGATTGGAGACCATTTTATTTCCAATCTGAACAGCGCTTATCTGCAATATAGATGTTTATAGTGATATCCAATCAAACTGGACAAGTATCTAGAATATATTTACCAGAGGCTTAATTGATAACTTTCGTTTTGGTCATAAAATATGCACGTTGTGTAATTTTATTTATTACCAATGTCAGTATTTAGCGTCAAAAATTTATATTTATAATGGTGACAATTTAACGCTTACAGGCCCTATCCATATCACTTGTTCACATCAGTAAATTTTATTTTATCTCATTATAAGTACTTAATGTTGGAATTTGTTTCAATTTTTAGACTGTACAAGATAGAAGCTAGCATCAGGCTTGTATCCTGGCGAACTGAACCAAATGCCGCAAGGTAGTTGCACCCCGCCTTCTCTAGAATTGATGACTAGCATTTACACGTATATTTTAATTTGTCCTGATGAATGAGATTTGTAGATGTACATCCATACGTGGTATCTGACTTAGTTTCGAGTGAGGAAATTAGAATAACTGGGACGTTTCTACTTGTTCATAAAGGAGGACTATTTTCAGCTCCTGTCAGTAGTGTTCCCTACTAATCTCCAGCTCTCACTGTAGAGTCTGCAGAGCCGAGATTGATTTGCAGCTCTATTCTCACTTCGATAAGGATTCCCAATCGCTTTCGCCGTCTGTATCGTCTTCGTCTCTCAACACATTCCCCTATCACCATTATTATGAAGCTAACCACGATCAGATCAGATGGTAGGGTCGGAGTCCTTCTCATCACCAACCATTGATCATGGAGGAGAAGCCATCCGATGGGTTTCCGGAGCGTACCCAGCACCAGATACGGAGATGGTGGGTTGGATCATGTCGGCCTCGACTGTTACAAAGAGGGGAGACATAGATGAATATGCGCACCTCATGTGGTCCCGGTGTCTAGGCCTCGCCTGGCTGGGGCTGCAGGTTCATTGGGACTTTTTCCCGCGCACGCAGTTTCCATTGCTACCATTTTTAATATTTTCGGGTAGAAGGTTTCGTGGAAAAGGTGGCCGAATTCCACGGGCAAATACTGAGCTGAATAGCAATTCATCATGGGCAATGTACCAATGATCCTTCAAGTAAAACAAGAGAAAATTAGTATTCAATAAGGTGTGGCCTGGGTCTGAGAGAGCCCAACGTGCTATATATGATACGAGTCAAGTTTTACAATAAACACTTCTATCTCTCTGGTATATACAAATCTACATTATTTCCAGTCGTACTACTGGCCATGATTGAATTTTAATACCGTCATAGCGATCGGTAATTCCTATGAATCGCGCTATGAATAATGGTTAATTCAAATTTTTTATTTTGGCGCCTTGAAGTACACGTAGGTTTTTGCGGAAGATACGTACGTTGTGTAGCTAAACTTCGTTTGACGTGTAGTGCGCCTCCATTCAAATCCTATTTGGTAATTCTACTTGAGGTCATTTCTTGTGGCGTGTAACATTAGCCGTACATACTTCTACGAGAAGTTGGCTGGGGCCTAGCTCAGACGTGGCTCTCCCGAATTCACGGTCATCTAGCGGTTCGAACTACTGCAGCTGACCCGTACCACCCTCTTCGTAGACGTTGCAATACTAGATCTATGCACCGGATCCTCCAGTCTTTTCATGCCCAAGAAACTTTACCGCAATTGTATTTCATGTTATGGAGCAGGATAAATTCCCTGTAACCCTTTGCCCATAAAAACTAAAGGCTTTGGAGTTTCAGGTTTGGACCGTCAAAGGCTTCAGGCATCCGTGGCAGTGAGCTTTGGCGTCTTATGTGCTACTTAAGATTAGTATTAGATAGACGTAAAGAATAAACCAAACCAAACTGGATCCGCCAAAGGATCTCACCAGAACTCTCTAGCGACACAATTCCTCCACCATGGTTCTCGCCCTGTGAGGCAAAGCCCATTGGTATCTGGGCAGCAGGTAGTCTATCGGGAATAATCACCTTAAATCACTGACAGTCCTTCCGTCCCATCTTAGACCTTTTCGAATTTACAGATGGCGCCGCAATGGCCGATCGAGCAGGTGCGGGTTATGTCATTAACCGAGGTCCTACGCAGGAGATAGGGCGAGGATCACTCCCTATTGGAAACTCAGCAGAAGTCTATGATGCTGAGATTGCCGGGGCCACGGAAGTTCTTACAGCAGCTCCCCGCATCCCGCAACCCACTAGCCTACTATGCCACTAATGTCACCGTTTGCCTCGACAACCAGAAGGCCGCCATCCGTCTGCTCTTGGCTACGCCCACAGCGCCTGGCTCGGCACGATCCTTAACTTCGCAAGCTTGCAGAAGAGTGGAAAAGTTGGACACGCGGCCAAAAAAAACGCCTGAGGGAGTAGCTGTTCGATGGTGCCCAGGCTACGCTGGTCTTCTTGGAAACGAATTTGCCTTCGCTTTCGCTAAAGCCGCATGTGCAGCTCCAGATCCACCACAGGCATTCTGCATTGCCAGAGCGAAGAGGGAAACGAAGGCCCAATACGAGGCCTATGCCGCAATCTACTGGGCTGAATATTCAGCGTCTGGATACAAAGAGCTAGGAATTGGATCGAACACTAGTACCATTGTTAAGCTTACCTATCTTGGACGATGCAAACTAGGATATGTACTAGCTGCATGATCTGGACACGGCGAAATTGCGGAACACCATCGTCGGTTTCACCAGGAAAAAGCCACACTAACCTGTTCATGTGGATAGGAGAAATCGCCCGATCACTTCTTCTGCCATATTGGAACATGCCATGATCGGCTAAAGAGGACCCAAATTTTAACTCCCAACACATTTTTAATATTTGTTTTTAATTTAATTTATTGTCATTTCTGAGTTTATAAATATGTATGATATGCAGATCCAATCTGCCTACAGGTCAAGGACACCTATGGCAGTAGCATATCCCCTCACGCAGTACCACCCTTCACAAGTTCTCATCCGATCGCACACTTAGAGGAGTCTTTTGCCAACATTATCTCCCCTCTAACCAGCTAAAAAATGGATATTTGCAAGTGTATGGTAGCCTGGAGCGCCCCAAAAGCCGCTGGGTTTGAAGCTATTCTAATATCGATATTAGGACTAAATCCGAAGACATAGTGTTCCTTTTGAAGAGTTCGAAGAGGCCGGCCAGCTGGGCGCTGCAGACTTGCGGGTACCTCGGTAAATTCACCCTTTGCCTTTCTAGCCTCCTTCCCGAAGGTCGTGCTGAAATGTCAGAAAAGTCTTGACAGAGCGTGATTGCTGTATGCTAGCTTAGCCTAGCTTCTTTTGTGCCGTCCAGGGCGCTGGGGAGTGCCATAGACTCATCGACAAAGAAGTCCTCATGGCTAATTTGCCTAAATCTCGGTCTTGGCGCCCACAAACATTCCAAAGTTGAAATCTCTTCGAAAAAATCAGTCCCAGCGTGGTCTTCAGAGACCTGTTCCCCCTCTCGCTCCACATCTCAGCCGCCTGTTCTACCTCAAGTTGTTTGTCCCATTAGAGCAACAGTCCCCCATAAACCAAGACCCAGGCTTTGTATTTTTCGACTCGATTTCCTTCTTGCGGGTATAAATAACATCGGAGATATGTAGTGAGAGATGGCTGGAAATTAATGGGGCAAGCTCCTATTTGCAATTGGAGCAACTTCTTTATTGGTCGTCGAGGTGAGATAACACGTGGTTAGAAAGAGGTTGAGGACTTAAATGAGTATGGCAAGAGAGGCATCGTCGAGAAGTCGTCAAATGGAGATATGTTTGAGGTTGCTTTCGACTTCAATTCGGATGCGATTCTTCTTGGCTATCCCATATATGCAGAGCATACTGAGCGATTACACCGGCACCGCTGGTAGGTGGAGAAATCGTCTTTCCCGGCGAGGTAGTAGGATCGATAGACAGGATGATTCAAACAGTGGATACAATCTTCAAAGGGTAATGGTATGATTATTGGACAAGAGTCTTTCAAATGCAGCATTGTGCGCCACAAGACTTCAAATGCGGAGGACGAAGGCTGAACACCCGTGCGCGGGGTCCTCTACGTACCTGGGAGTGAAATACTCTGCCAGAGCCAAGTTCAGTCAAATTTCGCAATCCCGACGAAGTTGGCCCGAGAAGGCAATGATCCAATCTCAACAAAATCAAACCTCTCACTCAATGAGATCGATCTCCATAGAAATCTCACCAAGTTTACAAGTACGACCCAGTACATATTCATTTAAATGACCACACCTCTCTTCGACCTTCTCTGGCCTCAATTGACCACCAAATACACGCCCAGGCCGATATTTATACCCGATACAGGAAGCAAAGCGTGGCGCACAAATCTGGGTGACATTTCTTTGGGATGGACGTGAGAAAGATTAGGAAAATTTCACGAGATGATACAGATGAAGGATATAACTTCGATAGGCGTAAATTTTGGCAAAACTTTTACGAATTGAGCTTTGTGCGCGCCAAGACTTCGCATGCGAGAGTACAGCTGACACTATAAGCACAAGCCAATGATGGAAGGTGTTGTGGTCCGCCTCCTGGTGGTGTTCCCCGGTATAGTTTGAGTAGCCTGGGCATCTACTCCACTTGGGAAGGAGACGCCCAAGATCATATTTCGCGCGGAGAAAGGTTGAAAGATGATGGAGGCCTGTCTGGATAACTCAGGGTTTTTGAGACGTTCCCATGGGTGGGTGTTCACGGATGAGGGTTGACTTGGGGTGAAGAAAAAGCCACCATAACTTCGCAGTGGTAATTGCAAATGAAATCCGAGGCATGAGTGCTCGTCCCTTACGTTGAATCATCTGTTCTGTACTTTTCATTGATATTGTGTCATAGCTAGATAGCTACATACGCAATTAAAATCTGATGCAAAAAAAAAACAGTGGTAGTTTTGACATTATTTATTAGTTACAGAGGATACAGTTGGTATTTGTTGGT